ATATATATATATATATATATATATATATATATATATATATATATATAAAGGATTCAGCTTTCTGACATCTAATTGTGCCACCTTGCAAGTTACGCTATCTCGCCACCATCCATCATGAGTTATCAAAAACATTCAAGTCCGGCTGGCCGAAGTAAAAGACTGTGTCAGGAGTCCCATTGTGGTTGGTGAACGCATCTTTTTCGTATAGATCATGGAAGTCGTATGATTCATCAACTCTCCTAAACCATCCATTTTCTTGATAAAATTAGATACACTTTTCTGCTTCTTGTCATTATACAAAGCTACCAGTTAGGCTCTATAGTTTCAATCAATTATGTGGGAAGCTTTTCATAAGTGTCATCTCTTTTCCTTTTTGCTAATTTTGTTGTAATAATAGTCTGAAATATGCTGTCATGCTTCCAACTATATCATTACAAGAGAGCTTTAAATATTTCCAGTGAGTCTCCTACTTGAAGGAGGCTACTCGATTGAAAGCCCAGACTGCACAGTTTCCGAGCAAAACATTACCTGCTTTGGCAGCGCAGAGGCTGTCACCTCATGGAGGCAATAATTTCAAGCTCACATGTATAGAAGGAGAGGTCCAGAGTCATGCAAGGCGATCATCATCTTCTCTCGGGCTGTGTCAGTTGCAGGCAATGGCTCCAAACCAATCCTTTAGTTCCTACAGTGACAAGAGACGACCGGCAGAGTTAAAGTTCAACCATCTTTATTTCTACTAGAAAGCTTTGGTGTTATTTCTGTCTCTAAAGGTGAGTTGAATCTACCAAAGCCGATCCTCACATCGTTCTTGGAGAAGATATACCATCGCTTTAAGCGGCCCATGATGCAACTTTTGACACTAGAGATCCTTGCTTTGTAATAGTTTAAGAGCCAAATGCCACCTGATAAGCATGGGTTTGTAGATGCTAATATATATATTACGGTGCAATTGATCGAGTGACAGACACCACCTTCAAAGCCACTACTGTCGTCCCACTCTACTTTAGTTTTGTCCATATTGCCTTGCTTTGCTCAAAGGTGCTGAATCACCGTGTCCTTCATGGCCCAGCCAAAAAGTCTATAGAAGAGCCACTCCTTTGATCGGTGGCAACTCCAAGCGCTTGGAGATCAGCCATCTGGCTTTCACCATGAAAGTTCCTCCTTTCCCACTTCACCTCCTCCATCTCCTGCCGGTTGCTGCTGCGCTTGCATTTGCAGGATCTGAAGCTGCCAAGGTTCCGGCGATCTACGTCTTCGGTGACTCGACAGCCGACGTCGGCAACAACAACTACTTGCCGGGGAGCAACGCCAAGGCCAACTTCCCCCACAACGGCGTCGACTTCCCTTTCTCGAGGCCCACAGGGAGGTTCAGCAATGGCTACAATGGTATTGACTTCTTAGGTAAGCCATGCTGTATAAACTTTGCCCATCCCCATTCTCTCCACAGGAAGTTTGCATTAGCTACAAGAAATGGTGTGGATCTTTAGGTGACGATCTAATCGAACGGTCTAACGATGGCTGAAGCGTAAAGGGTGGTCAAAAGGGCATTAAGAAGTTGCATCTGCATAAAGAACAAGTTAAAATAGTTCCTATTAGAAATCTTTCAAGCAATGCAAGAGTTTGATGTGCCTAATGGAAATAATCGTCATGTACATTTTTCTCTATATGGGACACATTAACTATCCTCTTCCATCTTGTGTTCGTTCAGCCAACCATATGGGCTTCAGGAGGAGCCCTCCACCATTCCTCTCCCTTACAAATAAGACCAATCACCAAATCTTGAGAGGACTAAAAGGTGTAAATTTTGCTTCGGGAGGATCAGGAATTCTGGACTCGACTGTAAGCATGATCCTTTGAACCCTCAGTTTGAAGTCTCAGTTCCTTAATAATCACCAGAGATCTGTTTCTGACAAATGCATCAGGGAAGCACCATTACCATGACAAAGCAAATTCAATATTTCTCTACGATACGATCGAATATTGTGGCACAAATTGCTTCTGAGCCTACGTATCGTTTGCTGTCTAAATCTATCTTCCTTATCAGCAGCGGTGGCAATGACATATTTGCCTATTTTACGAAAAACAGCTCTCCGAATGCTACCGAGAAAGTTCGATTTATTGGTGCTCTTGTCTCAGAGTATGAGAACCATCTAAAGGTCATCTCTCTCTTTCCCTGCATCCTCTTGCATGCATATATGGACCTATCGAAGGATGATGATCCTGAAATTAACATTGCAGGCATTGTATGTTCTCGGAGCAAGGAAATTTGGGATAGTTGATGTCCCACCGATCGGATGCTGCCCATATCCAAGAAGCCTAAATCCTACAGGGGGCTGCCTGGACATCTTGAATGAAATGTCTGTGGGGTTCAACGAAGCTGTGAAGTTGCTGATGCACAGACTTAGCTCAACATTGAAAGGGATGAAGTACTCTGTTGGAAGTTCTTATGCGGTGGTGTCTGGCATAATAAGAAACCCTGCAGCACTTGGTATATATGCACATAACCACAATTTTCTTGTTTGCAGTATCATAACAAGTTTGGATGGAATCCAAGAAGAACACCACCGCGGCTCAATAATCAAATCTGCATGTATATGTAATCGTGTTGTCTGCAGGTTACAAGGAGATCAAAACTGCATGCTGTGGAGCAGGAAAATTTAATGGCGAATCAGGATGCACCCCAAATGCTACCTACTGCTCCGAACGCCATCGTTACCTGTTCTGGGACCTCTTGCATCCAACACATGCAACATCCAAGCTCGCAGGAGTGGCCATCTACTATGGATCTCAACGATTTGCCAGTCCAATCAATTTTAGGCAGTTGGTGGTGGATGTGAATTAAGAATCACCTCTGTGAATTAAACTAGCTGCAAATGTTAGATCCTGCAAAGCACATTATATAGCTTTACAAGTTCCAAAAAGAACACTGTGAGACCTTGTTTAAGTTTGTGATGCAAACAGGGATTCCGTGATCTGATGTATAGCCAGCTTAAGTAGCTTTGTATGGACAATGTGCTGCCAAATTATAGATGATGTTATATTTGAGTTGGAAGGTTGTGAACTATACTGAAATGAGACATGCAGTTGCTTTCACCTGTCTCTCATCTGTTTCTTCTATCTTCCTTCATTGCTAGCAATGAGCCTGACAACTTTCGTCTCTGTTACTAATGGCATGCAAATTTAATGTATACATCTTCTGTCCTGTAAGGAGAGGTTTTGGTAGAATATTATCACTTGATAGTGTCAGGGATTAGATGGCATCTCCGTGAGGTTGCAGATTAATGTTGATGCCAACCTCACAAGTACAGGAAACCAATCAATTTGTGTATGCTTGGAGCTGTCTTTGCTCCTCCTTCCTTCCTAGCCCAAAAAATAAAGAAACGATTGAGGGTCTCTACCTGTCACTGTGTGTTAGTGTTGATGGAACCACACACATGAAGAATATAGCTGACCAATTATGCCCCACAATAATTTGTCAGGATCAATTTCAGAAGGGGAGAAGATAACCAATAAAAGGTGTGGAGGATTTCGATTGGGTCTTGAGATTTTTCTCTAGCTAGTCGCCTCAACATGTGAGCGAAGTCTCTGTCTCGTTCTACCATAAACAAGTAATGTACCCACCGGCATACAAGATTGATTCCACATATACGCAAGGAAATAAGTGTCTATGGAGGACAGAGCCTTACCCTGAAGTCTGTTCCAGTGAGGAAGAAGATGACCGCTTTCCTGCTCATACTTCTCTCAGTAATTCTCTCCAGGCAAAGCATTGTTGCTAACTCGGCTGCACTGTACGCCTTCGGAGACTCCACCACCGATGTCGGCAACAATAACTTCTTGCCCGGTGCGCCAAAGGCCAACTTCCTTATGGAATCGACTATCCCGGTAGAACTCCGACCGGCAGGTTCACCAATGGCTTCAACTCCGTCGACTACGTAGGTAATCATTCGATAGAATCTCCAATTTCTTTCTTCTTGTTTGCATGGGTAATCTGACTTGCATGCTTGCCGTAAACTGTTCCAAAGCCCAAGCCATGGGGCTTGCGACGAGCCCCCCACCGTTCCTCGCTGCCTCCAGCGTCGTGCAGATGACGAAAGGCGTGAATTTTGCGTCGGCCGGAGCAGGAATCCTCGACAGCACAGTTAAGATTCGCACGTAGTGTTATTTCACGGCACCTGGTGGGGAGTTCACACTGTCGAGTGGCTTGGTGTGATTGCCAGGGCCGAGGTGTCATCTCCATGTCGGCACAGATCAGGGATTTCGAGAGGGTTGGTGCGGAGCTAAGAGCGAGAATGGGAAACCAGACCGCTTCCGCCTTCTTGGCCGAGTCTCTCTTCTTCTTCAGGGTAGGGAGCAATGACCTCTTTCTCCAGTCTTCCTCCGGCCGTCCCAAGGATCAAATCGTCGCCACCGTCATCAGCAAGTTCAGAGATCAACTCAAGGTAGTGCCTGATCTAAATCGGAAGGAATTTGAGGATGTAAATTGTGTGCTTGCTCTAATGCGACTAGCGCAATGACAGACACTATACGATCTCGGAGCGCGCAAGTTTGCAGTCATAGGAACGGGATTGATCGGATGTACGCCGGACCGTAGGAGCTCGACTCCTTCAGGGGACTGCAACGGGGATCTAAATGATCTCTCTCTGCGCTTCAAAACTGCGACCAAGGCTCTGCTGGAGGAGCTCAGCATCTCTTTACAGGGATTCAAGTACTCCTTTGGGGATCTGTACGAGATTACTGCTCGAGTCTTCTCCAACCCCCTCGCCTTCGGTGAGCATCTGCGTCTCGATAAAACACCGTCACCGATCAAGCATAAGGTCAAACGTGTTGCCTTAACGAAACGTGCTCGTCTCTGAAGGGTTCACGGAGGTGAAAGCTGCATGCTGCTCGCCATGCACGGCGAGCTCCACATACTGCAGAGACCGCGGGCAGTACTTCTTCTGGGATGGCGTTCACTCCACCCAAGCCGCATACAAAGTGACAGTTGAAATGTCATTTCGGGGGACGCCATTGTTTGCCAGCCCCATCAACATGGAGACGTTGGTGAACACAACTTGAGCAATGGGATGCATATTGCAGAGTGCTCTGCATGATCTGAACACAATCATGGCTTCTGAATCGTACTCTTCTTTCAATAAAAGGATCCTAAATTGCTTATCTGTGAACTTAAATCCAAAATGAAATCTAAACAATTTAATCGCCAGTTGGATCTGCCGATGCTGTCTGTCTCAATTACGGTAGAATGTCTCTTTCGGATGTCATGCAAGCCTCAATTATGCTACTCCAGTGAGCATGCCGACACTCATTTTTCCTACTATATTTTGAATAGAACAATATCTCCGATCATGCCAAATTTTGAAGGTTGACGCAATCCATCTTAATTTATAAAAATCATATTTTATATATATCTTGGTATCATGGACTAATAATTTCTTCAAACAACAAGATAATACTTTCTTGTACACCATTGCAAGATATGGTGTACTAATAATTGCTCCATTGCAAGATATACTTTCATGTCAACAATGGGGGTTAATTATAGATTTTTCAATAATTAGTTACGGTTAGCATCCCACTCTTTATACATTAAAAAGTTACATGAGTATCTCTGTGGTTACGAAAGTAAAATATTTAAGTCCATTTACCATGATACAATCGGTTTTACCGATGAAAACATAAAAATAAAAGATAAAAATATAATTTTAATATTTTAATTGATGGTAACGGACGACGTCGGTTGTCGCAGACGACATCATTAGGGGTTGCAGGTGATTGTTGTGATTGAAGAGAATAATAGTGAGAGATAAGGGTCGTTTGGCAACTACATCAATGATGAGTTTGACGACAAACTCAATGTCAAATTCGGAGACTCACATTTTTCTACCATCGTCGAATATATTCGTTGGGAGCTCGACAACTGTTTGCCTACTAGCCATCTAAAGTTTTCTTTCCTAGCCGATAATAATCGTGGTGAATAGAACTCTTCTAATAAGCTCCCATCTCCCCTTTTTAATGCTTATGCTAAAATTGATGGGGTAACGGGGGAGCGATAGGAGCTCCAGCGATCTCAACTTCAGGTCGAACCATCCGTCCAATGGGTTAGTGACGAGGTGGTCACCGTCTTCACCTAGCGACCACCATCATTTGTTTGAATACTGACACAGTTGCATAGTGGCTTTACTCATTTGTTTGAGTAAATAGGCGTAGATATTTTACTTTCGTAATTATAGAGATATCAATATAATTTTTTAAAATATATGGATCGAGATGACTATCTAATACATTTAGACCCAATAATGAGAGCATATATAGAATTTTTTTTTTATTTTATGTGAATTTGTGTGGTATGAAATGCTTCCATGTTTAATAGAACTCAAATCGTTGCAAAACCAACCCCAATCTTCGCAGCCCTATGTTTGAAGCTTGTATCATGCTGACTCCGCAATGGCATGCTAGCTGACAACGTTGGCTTTTTACAGGATGGAGTCCACTTGGGGTGTCATCGATTTCCGCGACTCCTGCAGTTCTTGGTGTGTTGGTGTATTTATGTAACAAATTATAACTCAGTGAGCAATACTTATGTTCGTCTTGGATTGTGGTGACTATGATGCCAAGAGGGGAGATGTCATCGCCATGGCGGAACAGATAAAAGGACTGCGAGACAGTAGTTGCAAACCTCACTGCAAGAATGGGAGATGAGTCTGCATCCGCCGAACTGGCGAAGTCTCTTTTCTTCTTCAGCGTCGGGGGCAACGACCTCTACGATAGGTGAAAGTAAATTGACTGCTGATTCTTAACAAACTACTATTCATTTAACAAATGTGCATCAAAATTTTAAGGTACCTCAGCGTGTTTAATTAACACTGCAGAATGGCATGTTGCTCGATGGGAAGGTATGCAATCCAACGACATCGAAGTACTAGAATTCTGCAACATCCAAGTGTTGACAAAGAAAAATAATATTTGTAGTTTGTCTTAATTGTCTCAAGATCTATTGCTCTTTTAGTATACAACACTGGTACTCGCACTGCATATTATCAACAGAACCATCCGTACTTCGAAGAGACAGCAACTGGAATTAACTTGCACCTCCATTATCTGTTTCAATGGACAGTAAACGTGCATCTTTTTTTTGACCAGGATATTAATAAATGCAATGACAAACAGTAATAGAGAGCAAAACATAAAAACTAACCTGCAATTGTTTGATTGAAAGTTGCATGCGGTCACTCAGTGGCAGCCTGCATCGACAAATTAAGGTCATCAGTGCCTCGTCTGCTGAAAAATGGTTTACAAGACTGCAAATTCATAATTAAAATTTTTAAGAAATGTGTTAATATTATTAGTTGATGCAGCTTAAACATGTGCATAGACCAAAAAAAACCAAAGGTTCCATCTTCTCATTAGTTGATGCAGCTTAGAAAAGTTCATAAGCTTTTACGTTTCAATTACAAACTATAAATGGCTCATCAATTGGTTGTCAACATTAGAACAACAGCTCCGATTATAGTACTTAAAGAGGGATCCCTCCTAATCACAACAAGGGCAGTTTGGTGCTGCATAATAATAAGACCTGTGGCAAAGAGAATCAAGGATAGGATCCTAGGATTGTAGATAAAAGTGCCCTCTCTCTCCTCTTCCTCCCTCCCTCCCTCCCTTCCCATTGAGCCCATGTCATGAATCAGGGCCCACCATTTGGTTAAACTGCTGTGGCAACCAAAATCCAGGCTTGTATACAACCTATATTGACATATACAACCACAAACTTCCAACATACCTTAGTTGTGTTAATAAATGTATTATGTTACATGACTTCATAAATACATGTGAATTCCTTAAGTTTCTATGTACATAAGTGGTTTCCTGTTTCTATATAATTTGACGATAAAGATCTTTATGACTCTATTTCATACATACATGTGACATCATTTTAACTGAACATATTTCAAAATAGCAAATCTTGCCACAAGAATATCATCTAACTCGAGATATATGCATACAAACTGATGCATGCACCAACGGGAACCCATCCTTCGTTAGGTCAGGATATGAAGAACATTGATCTGGGAGGATACCTGGTTGAGGGGATTGTCAGGGGATTTCTTCCAGAGCTTCCATACCATATCCTTGTACTGATTGAGGGTCAGACCTGGTTTCTCTTCCTTCAATTTGGGAAGTTCTGCTTCTTCAAAAGCCTGTATGTATACATGTTAAGAAACAATTTTATTGAACACCAATCAAATGAATTTTTGATTTCCTGCAGACATAATGACTCTTCAGCAAAATGTAAACAAACTCTTATGGTGAACCATTAGAGGAACAGATCCCTGAGCATGAACAAAGTGTGATGACCAGCATAAGTAGCTGCAAGACCCTAGTGAAAAACACATACATACCAATTGCAACCCAATGAAACATAACAAGCTTAAAAAATATACAATGATCAGTATCTAGGAATGTTAGAGAGAAAATATGCAAAACAAAGTCAATCCCATTTATGAAAAAAATTCATTATAAAAAAGCATAAATATGAACCAACAGACATTTTTTTTGTGAAGGTCAAGTCTGCAGCACTGTAACAGCCAACAATGTCATTGGGACTTTAGGCCTTAGGTCTTATTAAAATAGTGAAGAATGAAAGGCATAATGGTAGGGGAAAAGAGGAGAGTTTAGAAACATAATAGATGACATTAGCTGGCTCCGAATTGGAGAAGACTGGTCTTCCAAACTTGGAATATAAGATCTTTTTAGACAATATGTAATTAGCATTAGGCTTTCATTTTTGTGGATTTTCCAATCAAGCTTGAACTTCCTCGTAGAGATAAAAACCTCAATCAAAACTTGAAATCTTCAATCAAACCCTATATGCCTTTTCACATTTTACATATGACTTCCTTTTCCGTTTTAAATAATTTCGAAAAATTAAGTAAACATTAAAATATGTTACCATGTAGCAATTTATGACATTTGCAAAACCAAAATCTAAGTGCCAACACTATTCTAAAGAAAAGAAAAAGATACGATGCAAAGAAACAAAGTTCAATCCAGCTAAAATCGAAGTTCATCACCATTCCGAAGGTATTTGGGTTGACGTTTCTGCTTTTTGCACCAATGATAGATCCAAATGTTCCCTCAATTTTCCATCAGTTACTGATCCAAGGATCCAAGTCACCTAGAACTTGTGCTATAGTTCAATTTTATTAAATTTGGATCTAAAAGTAAACTTGTAGTTGTGCTAATCACAAATGAGGGTCTTAAGTTGTTGCACCAGATCTTAGAGCTTTGAGGATCGTGCTGCATATATGAGCAGAATATTATATCACAATAAATGAGAAAAAGAACACAATGTGAAGTTTAAAGAGAGCAAGTTAGAAGGTAAGACAAATGTACTCCACTGTGGAGACGACGCATACTTATTTATAGCTATCCAATTTGGCAATATTCACATAAAAGTATGCAAGCCAGTGAAGTTAAAGCGGTAAAGTATCACAGATAGCAAGACCATTCCAGGAACCCTGAACCTAACATAATACAAATTTAACAGGAAACATTAAGCCGCATCAATTTGCTTCTATAGGTCATATCCTGATATTTATCAACGTTCCAAGAGTTGGATGCTATAAATGCACGAAGAGAAAAGGATTTGATAGTGATAACAATGGATTATGAACTACAAACAAGAAACAATAACACGCATATATAATCAACTTTAACCCTCTATATTGCTAATATCAGAACTAGCTCTAAAATACTATGGTTAAAAAGAAAACCTAAGAGGGTTAAGAATTGCTTGGTTCGAAGCAAAAACCCGTGAGATATTTATGAAAGGAACATACATGGTTGCTGGATTTCCCAAATTTTTATAAAGATTAATATCAGATGATTTCCTAGATATAAACCAGAGGGAATATATCTCCAATTTATCTGGGAAAAGAAAAACAAAAAATCAACGACCACAAATTTATTAGGGTTCCCATCAGTATAGCGTCCGATGATTCCGCGTCATGTCTATTAGGGTGATTTATCGTCTACTCCAACAAAATAGTTAGGGTTTTATTGACTGTCACCGATAGAGGAAGAAAAGTCAAATGGCGAAAATTATTAGAAGAGAAAGAAATACCTTGAAAGAAGCCTTGAGCCTCCTCTCAGGGTGACGATCGGTAGGCAGCGCTGGTTCGGAGAGGGCCATTCTGGAAATGGCGTCCTCCACCGAATGGGCCTCGATGACAGAGTCGTCCCTATTGGTGTTCTCCACCATCACGATCCGGTCGTACTCCTCCTCATCGGCGGACCGGCTCTTCTGCTTCTTGGCGACCTCAGCGTTCTGAAGGATGCGCTGCCGTTCCTCCTCACGGCGGCGCTGGAGCTCGGCCTCGGTGACCTTGGGTACGGGGATGGAAACGCGGGCGGCCTTGCGGTCAGGCTTGCGGCCGGCGGCGTCGATCTCCCGCTGCTCCTGCTCGGCGAGCTTGCGATTCTCGGCCCGGCGGGCGGCGGCCTCGGCGCGCTTCTCTGTCTCGTCCTCACGTTTCTTGGCTGCGCGGGTCTTGGAACCCTCCGCCTCGCGCCAGTATTGTTCATCCTTCTCCTTGGCCGCGCGGTCCTTGCGATCCGCCTCTGCAGCGCTCCGACGGGCGCGCGCGGCCTCCGCTTTCGTGTTTACGCCCATCTTCTTCGGCATCGCCGACCGATCGCCTGCTTCCGCAGCCGCCTCGAGATCGATAGATAGCAGGCTCCCGGCGAACAATTTTCTTTGTTGCCTATGAATCGAGATCCCGAATTTTAGGATTAGAACCACAGGGCAGAACGATCTATGTTTTGCTTTTGGTTTTTTGTTTTTGCTTTTTGCTTTTTGTTTTCTTCTTTCTAGTGGAACAAAATGAGCCTGAGTTTGGATCGGAGGATTTGCGTAGTGTGAGTTGGATGGGGTGTGAGTTGGATTCCCATCCAACTCACACTCCGCAAATCCTCCGATCCTAACGATCTAGCCGTTCGTTCCGACTGCCACTCGTCATATCGTTACGACAACGCCTCGTACTAAAACATCTCCGAGTCACATCCCAGACACGGAACAAAACCGTGTGAAGTGGGAGTGTCACCCAATATTAACGTGCCAAGCGTGGCTTATGTCTAGTGGCCTCAACATGCCTCCAATTTATTTCATTTTATCAGGAAAAATCGCTTTTTCACGTGATTTCACTTACCATATTCGTTTTTATATTAGAGCATACCTTTTTTTATAAATGATAAAAAGCTAATCAATCAACTTAAACTTTCACAAAATAACTAAAATATAATTTTCAGAATATAATATTTTTATTTTTTATTTTAAAAAATTATGATAATTAAATATTAAAATTTAAAATCTTTTGGATTGATACAATGATCTGAGTGTAACTTTGTAACTTCTACTCAACTGACTCAAACGTTCATAAAATTATTAGGACGTGGTTCTAAGATGATTAATATTTTTTATTTTTTAAAAATTTTATGATAATTAATTGTCAAAATTAAATAGTTTTTTTTTGATATATTATGTGATCGAATGTAACTTAATTCAATTTTGAATATAACTTAGTCAACTTTCAATAAAATAACTCAAACTTCCTCCAAACTATCGAGCCATAATTTTAAGATGATTAACAACTCTTAAATAAATAATAAAAAAAATATTATTTTACTATTACAATCTTAATATTATCAATTTTATTTTTTTTTTCCTCACATCAATTTCATCTCACTCCTTGTCGATATCGTCATTGTTCATCACCATTGATGCTCATTATGAATGTTGCTTATGCGATGCCATTTGTCGACCCCTCGACATTATTGTTCTAAAAAGAAAATGAATAAAAAAAGAAAGAAGAAAAAAAATATTTACATCCATCTATAAGTGGATATTTTAAAATATTAATAATTTTTAAAATGAGATTGTAAATAATAAAGAGGGATTACAAATAATAATATCTAAAAAATTAACAGTGAATTTTTTTTTATAATATACCTTCTTTTATCCATTAAAATTTCTTTTTTACATATACATGCTATAATGAGTGCATTGCAGTACAGATACCGTATAAAGACACAAAACTGATACATGCATGACAGATACAAACAGCCATATTACTCATGTAACACATTACAGGAAGCTTTTCATGTTATCAGAATAGAAGAAAAGTAGAAAAGAAGAGCCTCTTTTCATGTTAAACTACTTAATCTCATGTTCCACATCGAGCTTAATCGGTCCATGAGAGCTCCATCACCTTGGCCGCGAAGCTATAGCGGTCGGCAGCTTCATCAATCTACCAGAAAAGAAGAACATCACCATTAGAAAAGGCTTCGATAAGCTCTGCAAGTTGTGAAGTAGGGTAAGAATGGGACCATTTTCTGGGTCGGACGGCCAGCTCCATGACCTCCCTTTCGCTCGATCCGGGCGATGATCGGGTTGCTCTGTGGACTGCTGCCGAGACTTGTGCAGAGAACGTATTGCATGGTCTTGAACAAGAAGAGAACAAATTTAGTAGTTGATGTTGAAGATATAGAAGAGATGCAACCTGATAAGCAGAGGCACAGTGTCAACAACATTGATTCAAGTAAACAAATGCAATCTTAATACTGGAGAGCAACAATTATCTGGGCAACCCTTGCTTTATCTTTTACTTTACTTTGTTTCTGCTGTTCCATCTGCTACTTGTCACTGTGACAAGATCTTGATTTGCTGAGTTGCAGAATATAGAAAGATTTATGTGGGAATTTCTTCAATGATCTTAGAGAATTTTCCAGTCACTAAATTTGGAGACATGTATTCATACCTCTACTACTTTCAACGGGCATAGCATGTCATGCAGTACAACAAGAATGCAGAAAGTGGAAACATGGAACGCTATCGAAATGCTGAAACCAAAAAGACAAGATAGATGAACTTACTGCAAGCATTTTGAGTGAATGCAAAGGCACGACACGATCATCATGATCAGCGGTCAACAGCATGGTGGATGGGTACTGAAGTCGATGGCTATCACCTTTCTCCCATGGCCTTTTTACATTGTGTAAAGGTGAATACCTGAAGGCAAACAAGCATCATTGTGTAATAACTAAATGAGCAGAGAGCTTCGTGCTATGCAACCAGTGAAGATGTGTGTGAATAAAGCATCATGATTTGAATAGCTTGATAAATATTAACAATTGTAATAAAATTAACACACATTACAAACATTCAGAAATTTATGGAAAGAAAAAAATGTTATTATACTTAATAAGCCAATGGAATTCTTCTTTGTTGTCTGAGCAACCAAAATCAGATGTCCATGCATGACCTGAACAAGAATAAAACTTGCATCAGAAAAGACAGCCAACATATATGTAATATCCATAGAAAATACTGGGGTAAGTCGAGGTTAACCTATAGTGAACTTGTGGAATCGGAGCATGTCCATCACACCAACATGAGCAAGAACACAACCAAAAAGATCAGGTCGCTGCCAACAAATGATAGTATCACACGTTCATTATATTAAACATGAAGCATAGAACACAGGAACATAAAGTTGTATTAGGATTGTACCTGATTCATGCAAGTTGCAACAAGAAGCCCACCATTGCTTCTACCTTCGATGCATAGTCGTCTCGGATTGGTGTAACCATTAGAAACAAGAAACTCAGCAGAAGCTATGAAGTCATCGAAACAATTTTGTTTCTTTGACAGTGATCCACCTTTGTGCCACTCTTCTCCATACTCACCACCACCACGAATATTGGCTATGCAGAACACAAATCCTAAGTTCCTTGTGAGAACAAGACGAGTCACATTAAATGAAGGTGTTAGGCTAATATTAAAGCCTCCGTAGCCATATAATAAACATGGATGTGATCCATCGAGTTGAATGTTCTTCTTCGAGACAATAAACATGGGTATCCTCGTGTCATCCTTGCTTGACACAAAGACCTAAAAACCACAATTAACAAAGAATAAGACAAATTTGATTGACCATAATACATAATCATTACTTTATATGCATAAACCACAAAAGGCATATATAGAAGAGTAGTTCAAGTATGACTTCTGATTATTTGCTGGGATTATATAATTTATAAGATAACCAAAAGAACTTATATGAAGAGCACCATTACCATTTTTCAAAATACAAAGACAAAAAAAAAAAGCTTTTTGATTTGTAGAATCCTGGTCGCAGTTAATATCTGATTTATAAAGTCCAACTTTCACTTTTACAAGTATAAAATTAGCTTTAAAAAATGACAATTGGAATATGATGCGCACCTGTTTAACCTCAAAATTCTCACGATGAAAACCAGGAACAAAAGCTTCTCGGAAAATTTGCATCTCAGGAACTCCAGCAGCTAAATTGCACTTGTAGATGATTCCCGGAGACAGGAAGCTAGTGAAGCCAATAAAAACATCACTATCTTCACGCTTACCAGAAATCCCATAGACAGTACCAATATCTACAGGTATCTCATGTAGCAAAGCTCCTGTTTCCAGGTCTCGCAACTGCAAACCATACTTGACGTCACGAAGATAACTTACCAAAAGTTGGTTATTGTTCACAGCAGAGGCTGTTTCTAGCACATCTTTGTCATCCTCTGGCAGGACATCAGTCCATGACTCTGGCTCGATGAAGTCTACCCTCACTAATTTATATCTAGGTGCTCCTTTATTTGTCATAAAAGTGAACTTTGTGTCATCATTTGTTACAAAGAGATAGCGTGCTTCAAAATTATCAACAAGTTGGATAAATGGAAGCATTTCATTTCTCCCCTTGAAGCCTTCAAGACCATGTGGAAGCAAGGACAATTTGCAATAATACAATTTATTGGTAGGATTACAACCTTCCTCAATATACAGAAGAGCATACTGCAGATAGCAACAAAGGAATCTGGTCAACAAGGCTCATCTGTCTGATATTGAACCACACAATTACATATTTGCGGCGTTTGAAAAGATTTGGGAAACTTGCGTCCTCAACAATTGTGCGGAGAAATATTGTATGACTCAATTTGCCAGTAGCAATTATCCAGGGCTCAGTTAGCAAGTAAAAATCTTCCAACATTACAAATTTACTAGAACTAAACTGAAAAAAAAACAACATACATATTGTGAAACCGTTTTGATAATTTTTTTTCGAGATTGCAGTAATACTCGTCCTTCATAAAAATAAGATCAAGAAATCATCCAAGTAGGCAATACCTAGTAGTTACGGATAGGTTCTTTTCATGTAGGCATCCAGAACGTGCTACAACATTTAGAGATAGATTTCGTTATGGGATCAAATATAGGAGACTTATATACAAGATCAAAACCAAGTACATCTATTACAACAGTAACTATGGGCAAAATTAAGGTGTAACAGAGTAGCCGCATGAATCAATAATTGCATATGAATGAGCACAGAACAATAGTTTTCCACAATTCATCATGTTAATCAGAGAGAATTAACCCAGAAGCAATTACCTTGCCATCATCGGTGACATCAGTTCCATAAATATATTTTGGGTGCTCAGGATCTCTCCAGCACAATATATCCTCCGACTGATCCATGCCCAAGAAATGGTAGTAGACCTCATGATTCAGATTAATGTTATTCTCAGTCCCAGCATCCAATTCATGTCCTTCTCTATGGATTATCAACATTCAAGATTAGACACGATCAGAATAAGATCATCATGTGAACCTTTTTTTAATCTGTGGTTATATAAACATGGATAATGATTAATCAACCAAATCTAGCTTACCTGGGAGCTGGATATCGACAGTAGAAAAATCCTTTCCCATCTTTTGTCCAGCTAATTGATGAGAATTTCACCTATAACAAGGGGAAAACACATCGGTGATCACATATGAGACTGAAAAAGAAACAAAAACTAGAGTCTACCTCTATGCTTGTTTTACTCACCCATGAGAGTGTATCAAGCTCAGGTTGCTTATCCTCGATCCGCATTACCTTTACTGTAACCCAATCACTGCCGCTCGAACTAAGTCCATAGGCCAAATACTTGCCATCCTTGCTGACAGAAGACAAGGTGAGAGCTACCGTGCCATCATCACTAAGCTTGTTCGGATCCAACAGAACCTCTGCCTCTCCGTCCAAATCTTTCTGTCAATTCGAACAAACAGAGAGAGAGAGATAATGCTTAAAAGGCAAAGAAAATGACAAAAATAGGCAAACTTGGAGACGGCTATGCGATTTAACAAGAAGCCCTCCAGAGATCAACTTAGCAACCAGGTGTGATGTAAATCATCCCATCGAAAGAACCAAAAACCAAGATCGTAGGAACACATACTAACGCCTCCAAGAACCGTTCGGGAAAACATAGCAAAAGAGCAAAAGGAAATAGTGGGAAGCATAAAAGAAATGCTGAGTTGGCCACAAGATTCCTCGTTGCAACGCAGATAAATCCAAGCAACAGAAACACAAGAACGCGGGTCATAAAAATAGTTCGCCAAGATTCGGGCTTTGAGAGAGTTTTGGCCTCCGTCGGAACCCAAACTACCTGAACATACAGAACGCTCTGCGCCTGAAGGCCAGTATTGTGGAAGTAGAAGTACTTCCCACCGCGCTTAAAAGGCGTGTCGTACCGCGGGTGGTCGTGCAACGCCGTAATCCGCCGCCGGAGCCTTTCCCTCTCCTCGCATTTCTCCAGCACCGAGTCGGTGAGCCTCGCCTGCCTCTCCACGAACTCCTTCACCTCCTCCGACTCCGGATCCTCCAACCTGCGCTCGAGGCACCGTTTAAGGAGCGGCCTTTCTCACAAGACAAGGCACCCAAACCGAAAAGATTCGATTTTTACGCAAGAGGACGGGGGTCACGGATTCACCCACCATCTGTAAGGGTCGGCAATAAGGACGCCATGGTAATCATCGACGACAGACTCGTCGCGGCGGGCCGGCGGGTAGCTGAGGGGCAGCAAAGCTTCCCGCGGGGCGGCGAGGGATCCCATTGCAGGATGGGGCTCGGAGGCGCTGGCGGCGGGCGTGAGGGAGGAGGAGAGAGGAGGGAAGCTATATAAGGAGGGAAGGGAGAACAATGGCGGGGGCAATGGCGCGCGAATGACGACATTGGCGGGGCGTGGACGTTCGGTATGCGGTCGGTGACGGCTTCAGGAAGCGAAAGCGTCGTGGAGAGCGAGAGCCGGTGTCCCAAGCAAGGCAGAATTGTGTGCAATGGTGTCGCCATGGTGTCGCGAGCTGTGTCGCCATCGTTTTACATGGACACTTGTGCTCCCAATGGGGACATGCTAGTGGATTCCATTATCGACGACACGGCCCAAGGACAGAACAAGTCCAGTAGTCCATCACAACGCGACAGTCCGAGAGCCTTGCATTCTTAATTCTCATCCGCTAAAGCATACATGTATCTCGCACCACCAAGGCACCGAATCTTTCGGACGCATGCATTGTTGTCATCAGATTCCATCTCGTGGTGGGAATCTTTCGGCTGATCTGGCGGTTCTCGACAGCGAAAGACCGTGCGACCGACGCACCTTTAGATGCGTGCAAGATCGGGACCATCGCAAGCGACGCAAGGACGATGGAGATCCGCTGCGGTCTTCGTCACAGAATGACACTCCCATACCACTCTTTCATCCTCGATGATGCATCTTTCGCCAATCGAACTACACTGAATCAGTCGGCCTTAAGATAGGAATAGAAATGAAGCTGACCCATAGCCGAACTATTTTTGTTTGTTTATGCAATAATTTACTCGGAGAAAATAACTTCTTTGAACTTAAGTGTCACATTTGGATTGATAAATATAGTTCCTGACAAATCTTTTCTCTTTCCATCCCAATTTTAGCTTATGCAATGCCATCACATTTCATGTTGGATTTTGGAAGTCGATGTCTAACTATGTTTGATTGAGGAATCGCAGACAAGCTTTATAGATCACATGCAAATGACGTGTTTGATTAAAGTATTATATATATATATATATATATATATATATATATATATATATATATATATA